CTCTGTCTCCCCCCATTCCGCCACAGTGCTCCAAGAGTCTGGCCTGTTCCCCTGCTGTTCTCCCAAGGCAGGGCTCGGGGCTGGGGCTAAGAGGACAAGCCTTCCACTCTTCCCCAGCCATTCATGGCTGTTCCCCACGTCCCAGCAGCTTTGTCGGCCCAAGGGACAAAGGCATTGCAGGCGGCCCAGAGGAGCGCCCGGCGGGCAGTGAATCTCCTCGCGACGGAGATCCAGCACAGATTGCAGGAGTGCCGGGGCTGCGCCGACCACACGACCCCCTGCGCGGGTGAGCTTGCCCGTACTGCTCGGCCCGTTCTCCGGCTGCCCCTTCCCCTCCATTCAGACTTGACTCCCTCTTGGAGACAGACTGGGCGGGGCTAAAACCGGGACAATGCTTGTGGATGTCTCTCCAAGTGGAAAGGGCGTCACACTCGCGGCGCAACTAGTGCAAGGGCAGGAGCAGTCTGGGCTCATCTGCGGCTGCTGAAACAGGTGCTGGCTGCTAGGGGCCGGGCAAGAGAACGGGAGCCCAGGCAGAGACTGTGGGCCCAGCCCGGGGTGGAGGAAGGTGGGAGGGTGGCAGTGAAGCTCAAAAGGTCTGTTTCTCAGCAGGACCTGGGGGCCCCAGGCCTCAAGCCCCCCTGCTCCAGGATCCACCTGAGCCAGGTGAGGCTGAAAAAGTTTCAAGGGGACGGGCTGGGAGGAGGTGGACCCTGGAGGGGGCTGGATGGTGAGAACCGCCAGGACTCGTCTCTCGTGACAGCGGTTCCACCTTTCTAGGGCAGTGTGGCGAGAGGCGTCGGGACACAGTCAATGTGACGCTGGCCCGGGGACGCATTGTGGGCGGCAGAGCGGCGCCGCCTGGGGCCTGGCCCTGGCTGGTGAGGCTGCAGCTCAACGGGCAGCCTCTGTGTGGCGGTGTCCTGGTGGCAGCGTCCTGGGTGCTCACAGCTGCGCACTGCTTCGCGGGGTAGGTCCGACCCCCAGGCTCCTGCCCAGTCGGGTTCCCACCGCAGGGTCCGACTCCTCCCCGATCTCTGCAGGGGGGGGCGACTCGCGCGAGGGCCGGTCTCTGCTGCCCCCTGGCGGCGGCGGCCCGCTCCTCGGCTCCTCGGCTCCCCGGCGCCCGGGCTCCTATTCGGTCCCCGGGCTGCAGCGGCCTCTCCCAGGCCCGCCTTCCCTCCCGCAAGGCGGAGAAACAGCTCGGCGGGAGGCCTCGCTGGATGGTGACCCTGGGCGGAGCCCCTGGGCGGAGAGCAGGGTCTCCCGGGTACTTCGCGGCACCCTTGTCCCGAGTTACCTCCCAACTTTCCGCCCGCAGCGCCCCGAACGAGCTTCTGTGGACGGTGATGCTGGCCGAGGGGCCCCGGGGCGAGCAACGGGAGGAAGTGCAGGTGAACCGCATATTGCCCCACCCTGAGGTGAGAAGGCGGTCCCTAGGACCCCAGAGCTGGGAACAGCATCTTCACCCCACACCTCGCTGACACTGCGTCGCCACTCCCATCCTAGTTTGACCCGCGGACCTTCCGCAACGACCTTGCCCTGGTGCAACTGTGGACGCCGGTGAGCCCCGCAGGGGCGGCGCGCCCCGTGTGCCTGCCCCCGGGACCCCGGGAGCCCCCCGCCGGCACCGCCTGCGCCATCGCAGGCTGGGGGGCTCTCTTCGAAGGTACCGGCAGGACCCGACCTAGGCAAGCCGAGCATGTGCCTGGGAAGAATGGGGGCTGGGGTGGTGGAGTTTGGGGAGGCTGGCGAGCAAGGAACAGGACCTACGCCTAGCTGTCTTCGCAAAATGCTGCCAGATCTCGCAAAAGGGAGGGACTCAGGGGACACAGTAGGAAAGGGGACCCTCGGAGCGGAGCCCTTGCCCCCCCAGCCCTGAGCTCCCTCCACTGCTTCCCTGTAGACGGGCCCGAGGCAGAGGCGGTCAGGGAGGCCCACGTGCCCCTGCTCAGCGCCGATACCTGCAGGAGGGCCCTGGGGCCCGGGCTGCACCCCAGCACCATGCTTTGTGCCGGCTATCTGGCCGGGGGCATCGACTCATGCCAGGTATGAGCCCCAGTTGACCGTGGGGCACTGGATGGGCCACTCTACAGGCACGGACAGCCTACTTTCCTTCTAAGTCAGGTCGTCACTCAGCTTCTCTGAGACTAAAATGGGTACAAAACCGGTGACCCCAGTAGAGCTCAGAGCTGCCTTATCCTGCCAGGTGTGAGGCTGACATATGGGGGGCAGGTGGATGCAGTGCCCTCTCTCTGGGCTCATCTCCTGCAGGGTGACTCTGGAGGCCCCCTCACCTGTTCTGAGCCTGACCCCCACCCCAGGGAGGTCCTGTATGGAGTCACCTCGTGGGGGGATGGATGTGGGGAGCCAGGGAAGCCTGGGGTCTACACCCGTGTGGCCGTTTTCAAGGACTGGCTCCAGGAGCAGATGAGTGGTGAGTGCTGGATTTCCATTGCCCCCTCGGCAGAGTGTCCCGCTGTGGAACGAGCCCAATCTTGTTTCCGTCCCGCCTACCCTCAGCCCCCTTCGGCATTCCGGTAAACCCGACTCTCTCCAGGTCAGGGCTTCCGGGGCTAGGGCTCAAACCGGGGGTGGAGGGAGCGGGTGAATTGGACCCTGGCGCTCTCCGCAGCGGCCTCCTCCAGCCGAGAGCCCAGCTGCAGGGAGGTTCTGGCCTGGGAAGCTCCCGAGGAGCCGCTAGCAGACGCGGGGCCTCCCTGCACCTTCTACGCCCACCTGTGCAAGGGACCCAAGAGTGTGTGTGCGCCCCTAGCGCATCAGCAGTGCCTGCAGCGCCGACAACGATGCGGTCAGTTTAGTTCCTGGGGCTGGGCCTAGGAGCCAGACGGGGGCCTGGCCCACGTCTGACCTCCAACCGCACCCTTGTCCGGCCCACAGAACTGAGCTCGCTGGCCCACACGCTGCTGGAGCTGCTGCGGGGTGCCCAGGAGCTGCTCGGCCCGCGCCCGGGGATATCACACCTGGCACCGGCCCTGACTCGCCCCGCTCGTTCACTCCAGGAGCTTCCTAGGCACCCTGCCCGAGAGCAGCGGCTGCACCCAGGTACCCCAAGCCCTCACGGCCCAGCTTCTTCCCACCCCTGTGCGAGCAAGGCTTTCCCCTAATCCTGTGATTCCCCAGGGTCGCTGGCTGCAGGTGCCCGTTTGCCAAAGCGGAAGCCAGAGCAGCGCGGAGAAGCGCCTGGTAACTACGCCGCCTGTCGGTCACCGCTAGAGGAATAGGCTGAAAGCTGGCAGAGGCCTGGAGAGTCTGCGATCTGCACTGGGAAGCAGTTACCCGATGGGGCAAGGGGCAGACCCCACCCCCTCTTCCCCGAAGCAAGGGGATGATTCTGGCGCTACTGTGGCTTTGGGCCTCATTAGTGTCAGGAAATGCTCGGCTCTGTGTTACCACTTCACCTCTCCGAGCCTCAGTTTCTCCATCCGGAGCTTGAGAAGCTGCCCCCTGGGAGGTGGTCCTGAGGTTCTGATGGGAACCTCTCCACTCCCCTCACTCCCTGCTGGCGTCTCTCCTTCCCTGCAGATTGCCCTGGCCTGGAGCCCCTGCGGCAGAGGCTGGCCACCCTCCAGGACACCCATGCCTGGATCCTGCAGGTCCCCTCTGAGCGCCTGGCCATGGACTTTCAGGAGGTAGTTGACCAGGCTTCTCCGGCTCCTTCACAGGGGCCTCTGAAGGCGGACCTGGGTCAGCCCTGACTGGTAGGGGACAGAGGGGCACCCTTCCCACCAAGAAGGAGGACCTTCCCCTGCAGCCTGGGGGGTGGGAGCAGAGTCCAAGTGGAAGGGGCAGCTGGCCGCGAGCTGGGGCGCTGGGTGGTTGTGAAGGTGTGCTGGGGAGGGGGTGGGGGGAGAAGAGGGGCTTGTGGGGGTAAACAAGTGAGCAGGGAGTGTGCAGGGGTAAGGAAGGGGGTGGGTGTGGGTGAGAGCTTGGAGGGCCGGGAGGCGGTGACCAAGAGCAGGGTTGTGGGCCCCTGAGCCTCCTCCTCCGTCCACAGGTCCTGGCGGATCTGGGCTCCAAGACCATAACGGGGCTCTTCCAAGCCTGGGTTCGGGCAGGCTTGGGGGGCCAGCATGTGGTCTTCGGTGGCCTGGTGGGCCTGGAGCCGGCCACCCTGGCTCAAAGTCTTCCCCGATTGCTGGTGCAGGCCCTGCAGGCCTTCCGCTTGGCTGCTCAGGCCAAGGAGCCCAGGAGCTCAGCCCGAGGAGGCCAGACAGGGGTGGGGCAGAGCTGGGGGCTGGTGGGGAAGGACGGCCACCTGCCTGGCCCTCAGCTTCCGGAAGCCAGGCAGCCACAAGCCACGTCCGAGCCCCCAGCCTCTGGTCAGTACCTACTGCTGCCAGGGGCTGGGCATGTTCAGGGAGCATGATGACCAACTGCCACAGCTGGCCCCGTGTGGGGGGCGGGGTGGAGGTCCGGGCCCCATGTGTCTTACCAGATGTGTCAGCAGAAAACCACAGCTGCTTTAATAAATGTTATTTATGATGTAAACAGAGACAACTCTGGAGCTTTCTTAGGGTGGGAACTGGGTGAGGGAGTATTAGCCCTCTAGGAGCAGGGCCATGCGGGGGCCCGGCCTCAAGAAGCAGTTGGCAGCGGCCAGGACCACACAGGAGAGGGCCTCCAAGCTCCCGTCTGAGCAGCCCTGTCTTTCTCCCTGGAAACGGCAGCTGACTTGCCTGTCGCCACCTCCGACCCGTGGCCGACCAGCACTGCCCCGGTGTCTACTGCTCCCCCCCCCCCCGGAAGCCAGCGCTCACCAAGCTGCTAGCTGTGGGAACTCGTAGCCTGGGAAATTCACCTCATGTCCTTGGGCTCCGGCCCTGCCAGCCAGTCCCTGTCCCCACCCCAGCCAGTCCCCGTCCCCACCCCCTCGTCACCTGCCCAGCGTCTTCTACCCGGCAGCAGAGCCTAGAAGTATCAGATTGCATTTCCGGATGCCTCTTCCCTCGGACTCTCCAACCCCCCCTGCACCTGTCCCCTCTGCCACTCACCCACATTCCTCAGCCCAGTAGACAGGAGGAGCAGACGCAACACCTAGCTGGAGGGGCAGGATGGAGGGGCCTGTGTTAGCGCTGGGGCTGCTGGCCGCCCTGGTGGTGTGCGGTAAGACTGGGCATCATCCCACCCACCCAAGCCCCCACAGCATGGTCCCCTCCTACCCTTCCTACAGGGTGCTCCCTACCCCCTAGACTCAGGCCCCTCCCCCTCCCGCTACCAAGCCTCCCTGGGGGGCTGACCACTCCAGGGGGTGGATGGGTACCCCTGCAGGACCCCAGGGCAGCTTCCTTCCCAGGCCCCTGCCCAGCACCCCGTCCCTGTCTCCATCCGTCTCCAGGCAGCTGGGGTCTCAATGAGGAGGAGCGGCTGATCCAGCACCTGTTTAAGGAGAAGGGCTACAACAAGGAGCTCCGGCCGGTGGCTCGCCCAGAGGACAGTGTGGAGATCACACTGGCCCTGACCCTATCCAACCTCATCTCCCTGGTGAGCGGCCCCCCTGGGGCTGGGCTGGAGACCAGGGGCAGGCACAGCTTCCTCGAGGCCTGCCTTGCTCCCAGACAGGGATGGCCGTGGAGGAAGCTCAAGGCCACAGGCTGGCCTATGGCAGCTTGTCTGTCCATACCCTGGGCTGCCCGAGAGCCCTCAGGCTGATGCCCCTCCCCTGAAGCTGCCACTCTGGGGTGCCCCACCCCCATATCACACTTCAGAGGCCATGTGTCCTCCCCGCTCCGTGATCTGCCTACCCACTCCAGGGTGCTTGGGCCATTGCCATGGTTTCCCTGAGGGAGGGTCGTGGCAGCAGGAGGAGGTGCCTGGGGAATGCCTGCAGGCGAGAGCATGACGCTGGCCCCTGGGGACGGCCTCCTGTCTGATTACAGAAGGAAGTCGAGGAGACCCTCACCACGAATGTGTGGATTGAGCACGTAAGGAGAGCACCCCACTCGGAGCCGGGGGCGGGGTACAGGGAGGGTGCAGGGCCTAGACTCCCCCGCGCCCACTTCTGCTTGGGGACCCCCAGCCTGCCTGAGACAGGGTGGGGCTCCTGCTGGCAGAGAAACCTCCCCCCCACCTAGTGGAGCCCCCCAGCCCAGACAGCCCTGAGGGGGGTTAGGGTTCTTCAGTCTGGGAAGATTGTGGCAGTATCCTGATCCTATTAGAAGACACCCTCTGTCAGCTGTCAGTTCTACGACGACTACGGAAGTAAGGTTCCCTAGCTGTGTGCGTGTGTGTCCTACAAGGCCACGCTGACCCACCCGAGTCCTCGCTCTCTACCCACCTCCCCAGACCCCTTTGGTCCCAGCCCTGGACCCTGTCCTGTCTCCCTCAGGGAAGTCACAGGGAGCTAGGGGCAGGGATGGCAGCAGAATCCACTGCTAACATCCCCGTCGGTTTCCAGGGCTGGATGGACAGCCGGCTGCAGTGGGACGCCGAAGACTTCGGGAACATCAGCGTGCTGCGCCTGCCGCCTCACATGCTGTGGCTCCCGGAGATCGTGCTGGAGAACAAGTTGAGCCTGGCTCCCCCTCCCCCCTCCCCCCTGCGCCCCACCTCGCCCCTCCTCTCCCCACTCGGCCTCCCCTCCCTCCGGCCCCAGCTTCCGGCTGCCCTCTCTCTTCTGCTTTCCCCGGCCCTGCCAGTGTGAAGCTGGCCCTTACTCACTGTGGCCCTTGTCCCTGCCCCCAGCAATGACGGCTCCTTCGAGATTTCCTACTCCTGCAACACGCTGATCTATCCTTCGGGCTCCGTGTACTGGCTGCCGCCCGCCATCTTCCGCTCTTCTTGCCCCATCTCTGTCACTTACTTCCCCTTCGACTGGCAGAACTGCTCGCTCAAGTTCAGGTGCACCCACTGCTCCAGCCACCCCTCCCCTGAGGGCCCTCTGCCAGGGGCCACCTTCAGAGCTCCCCTCCCCCTCAACGGCCCCTCTGACCTTGGGCCTTTCCCATGAGTGGCCCCAGCCAGTGGCTGAGGACCACCCTCTGCCCACTGCCCACCCCAGTTCCCTCAAGTACACGGCCAAGGAGATCACCCTGAGCCTGAAGCAGGAGGAAGAAGGGAACCACTCGTACCCCGTGGAGTGGATCATCATCGACCCCGAGGGCTTCACAGGTGCTGGCAGCGCAGCAGGAGGGTGGGCAGGTGGCCAGGCCCCTCGGGACCTCCCCCAGGGATACACATAGGGTCACACTGCCATCTCTGCACACACACATTTGCACTTACGGATGGATGCAAACCCAGCATGTTGAAAGGAAAAGAAGCCCAACTTGGGGGGACTGTGTCCCAGAGGCAGAGACAGAGGGGCACTGTGCCCACCCCCACCTCTGCCCAGGCTGGAAGACCCTCTGGGTCTCAGCAGGGCCCTTGGGAGGGGTGTGGCTGACAGGTGAGGTGGGTGTTAGTCTTCCCGTCCCCGGAGCACCCAGAGGTGTGGCTGGGGCTGTAGTTATCCTGATAGTGTGCATGTCACCACCTGCCCTCTGTTTGGGACCAGGCTCAGACCCTTTACAGGCCCCCACCGCTTGCCCCTGTCCATCAGAGGAGACCCACATCCTGCTGACCCACCACAGGCTGGGGGAGGGGTCTTACTCTCCCGCCTGTTACTCTCAAGACTCCTTGTTTGAGCCACCTACAGCCTCTGCTTTTATTTTTCCCAAGGAGAAAAAAATCAATCCTAGAGGCACATTTCTCCCTTGCAGATGGAACCCTCCATCCCCGTCCCTGGGAAAAGACCCACAGATAGAACCTGAACCCTCCTTGAGTGCCCCCCCCCACCCAGGGCCTTGCAGACAGGCCTGGCTGTGCCTTGGGGTGGCTCACTCCACCACCCCCTCGTCCTGCCCTGAGGCCCCCGGGACCCCCTTGCCCGGCCTGACCCCGAGACGTCTGCGTGCTGCCCTCAGAGAACGGGGAGTGGGAGATAGTGCACCGGCCGGCCAGGGTCAACGTGGACCCCAGCACCCCTCTGGACAGTCCCAGCCACCAGGATGTCACCTTCTACCTCATCATCCGCCGCAAGCCCCTCTTCTACATCATCAACATCCTGGTGCCCTGCGTGCTCATCTCCTTCATGATCAACCTGGTCTTCTACCTGCCGGCCGACTGTGAGCCTCCGCGCCCAGCCCGGGGCTGCCTGGGCAGCCTCTCCTGTCCTCGGGGTCCCCGGGGCACTGCCCCCCTCCGCCCAGACTCACCTCCTCCTGGGGGCCACCTAGGCGTGACCACCACCCAGGCTCCAGGCATGAGGGGCATGTGGCCAGCCAGGGGGAGGGCTCTTTGGCCCCAGCCCACATCCCCCAGGTGGTCAGGGCCGAGGACCCTAGACTGGCTCTCTGCCAGGGCAGAAGTCAGGTCTGTCGTGGCCGCCTGGTGTGACTGTGGACCTGGCACACAGGGGCTGTCAACAGTTACGGGGTGGGGGTGCATAAGGACGGCGCCTCCGGGACACCAGGCGGTGGAGACAGGCGCCCACCCTCTCTCCCCTGGTTCTGGAAGGGCACGCGCCATCACCTGGGCTCACCTGGCTGCAGAATGTTCGCTGCGAGCAGGGCACAGCGAGTCCCAGAGACGAGTGCCAGCCAGCCCCGGCCCCCGGCGGGGACAGGCACACTGCGCACGGGTAGAGGACGATGGGGCAGAGCCACCGGCGGCCACCACACTGGCTCAGGAGGTTGGGCGGGCAGGAAGGGCAGGGCACCCAGGGCCAGGAGGAGCGGCCAGCGTGTACCGCACCCTCTCACCTGGCCCTCACGACATTTAACGGTTGAGAGACCTGAGACATGGAGAGGTGAGGCTATAGCCCAGGGGCCCCACCCTGCCAGGAAGCGTCAGGGCTGGGATTTGAACCCAGTCACTTTCTCGCCATAGCCTATTGTGTTAAAGAGGGCACCGTGGCACTTTGAACAGGGGTGCAGGGTCCCCAGCAGAAGTCACAGCTAAGTGCAGGCTCCCCCAGGTGGCGAGAAGACGTCAGTGGCGATCTCAGTGCTCCTGGCGCAGTCTGTCTTCCTGCTGCTCATCTCCAAGCGGCTGCCCCCGACGTCCATAGCCATCCCCCTCATCGGCAAGTAAGGGCCCCTTCCTCCTGCTCCACGCCGCCCGCCCCGCCCTCTGCACCCTGGAGGCTGCCCCCGAACGTGTGCCCGCAGGTTCCTGCTCTTCGGCATGGTGCTGGTGACCATCGTGGTCGTGGTCTGCGTCGTGGTGCTCAACATCCACTTCCGCACCCCCAGCACCCACGTGCTGTCCGAGGGCGTCAAGAAGGTGAGGCTTGTCCTGGTCCAAGGCTGGACACTGTCCTCTGGCGCCCCTGGAGGAGTCTGGGTAAAAACACTGTGCGGCGCCACACAGGGGAGCGCCCTGAGCCTCACCAACACGCTGCCCACTGCTACACCCCCACCCTCGAGTACGACTCTGCCACGGGTGGGGGGGGGTCGCATGAGAGAAGCCCCACACAAAAGAGCAGACTTCGCAGTTTCCTTTGTCTGAAGTTCAAGGGCAGGCAAAACCAGTCATTAGTGATTGAAGTCAGGGTGCTGGTTACCTCTGGGGGTGAGAAGGGCTTGACGTGGGAGGCGTGAGGGGGCCTCTTGGGGGTCGTGCTCCATAGCCATGCTGGGCGGTGTGCCCAGGCTGAATGCGTCTGTGAAACTGCTACTCTGTAGCAGCCAGAAACGGAGCCACAGGTGTTCGCATGTGTGAAGGCAACCCATGTTGGTTCAGTGGCCTTCCCGTGTCCCCCTGGCCTGCCACAGCTTTTCCTGGAGACCCTGCCCAAAATCCTGCACATGTCCCTCCCGGAGGAGGGCTCGCCCGGCCCCGGGGCCCTGGTGCGCCGCAGCAGCTCCCTGGGCTACATCTCCAAGGCCGAGGAGTACTTCTCCCTCAAGTCCCGGAGCGACCTCATGTTCGAGAAGCAGTCGGAGCGGCACGGGCTGGCCCGGCGCCTCACCGTGGCCCGTGGGTGCCCGGTGGCTTGGGGTGCGGGCTGGTCATGGGGGGCAGGGTGGGGGCGGCCGTGCCCACCTCTGGCCTGTGTCTGCAGGCCAGCCCCCAGGGGGCTCTGAGCAGGCCCAGCAGGAGCTGTACAGTGAGCTGAGGCCAGCTGTGGAGGGCGCCAACTTCATCGTGGGCCACGTGAGGGACCAGAACAACTACAGCGAGGTGAGTGGCCACCGGGCTGCCGTGGACAGGGGTTCCCATGGTGACTGAGCCAGTGTGTCCTACCTTAAGGGGACACAGTTCCCCTTGGAGACACATGCCAACCTAGATAAAGGGTTCCCAGGGGGTGCAGAATCCGCCCACCCCACCCCCTTCTGCAGCCAGGGAGCCCCTGCCCAGAGCCCAGAGCAGGACCCGGGGCCGGGCACACGCTCGGGGGCAGGCACAGCCTCACGTCTGGGCAGCCCCCAGGCCCCTTCTCGCTCTTGAGTGCCGGTCATTTTCTGCCCCTGCTCACCCTCCAAGTCGGGTGACCCGGGCACAGCCACACCTTTAAAAGGTGGCCTCATAGGGTTGTTTGATAGTACACAACTTTCTGAAATTTCCTCCGGAGGAAGGGGCGCCTTTTTCCAGTTCACCCAGGAGGAGAGCCTGGGCCCTTGCTGGGGACAGGCAGCATGTCCCCTGTGCCGTAGACCCAAGGTGGCCCACGCAGACACACCAAGGCTATGCCTGTCACTGGGCCCCAGCCTGGGGCAGAAGCCTGTGGTCCCGGGGCCTCCTCACCCCACCGCCTCCACACCGTCCACAGGAGAAGGACTGCTGGAACCGGGTGGCCCGCACGGTGGACCGACTCTGCCTGTCTGTGGTGACGCCCATCATGGTGGTGGGCACGGCCTGGATCTTCCTGCAGGGTGCCTACAACACCCCCCCACCGCAGCCCTTCCCCGGGGACGCCTTCTCCTACCGGGAGCAGGACAAGCGCTTCCTTTAGAGCAGGCCGCCCTGCCCGCCTGGCCCCGCCCCCAGGGCAGCTTCCGTGGGGCTGTGGGCCTGAAGGGGATGGGCCTCCAGGGGTGGCAGGGATGCCTAAGGAGGGGCGAGCTCTTCAGGGAGGTGCCCCCAGCCCTGAGACTTGACCCCTTTGGTCCTGCAAGGCCGGCATGAGATTCACTCCTGAGACCCAGAAGAGGCAGGAGAAGGCCCAGTCTCAGTGAGTGAAGACAGGAGCCAGCAAAAGTCTGAGAGTGGGCACCAGCTGGGGGGTGGGCAAGCAGGGGCCTCGTCCAGTGCCACTCAGGCTGGTCTTTTGGGGCCCCTCTGTGAGAAAGACAGAGGCCTCTTCTTGCCTCCCCTCCCGCACATGGGGGTAACGGTGGTGGGCCCTCACTTCCTGGCTCCTCAAGCTTCCCTGCTCCTGCCTCCCCTGCAGCCTTGAGGTCCCGCCCCCCGGAGGCAAGGTTGGGGGCACCTCCCTCTCCAGACCCTTTAGAAAAGCAGGTTTGGGGCAGGAGCTGCAGAATGGCCTTTCTGCCATGGCCTCTCTGGCTGGGTCCCTGTGGGAAGCTAGGGGCTGGGGTGGAAGGCTGGTCCAGCAGCCACGGAGGCCAAAGGTCAGCCTAGAGCCTCAGGACTCAGCCCCTCCCCCACCAGTGGTGTCCCCTCTTTGTCATCTATTCTCCTCCAAAGTAGGGTTGCCAGGCAAGATTTGAGATTACTTATACTAAAAAATGTATTCCTATTCATCCGAAATTCAAATTTAACCGGGCATTTCATGTATTTATTTGCCAAAACTAGCAACTCTACCCCAAAGGGATCTCCCACCAGTCTTATCCCAAGGGCCAGAGGCCGAGGCTGGAGGAGCTGGGAGATGCGGCTGTGAGAGGCAGCCCACCTCCAGGGCGGCCCCAGTGGTCCCTGCCTCCTGGACAGCGCCCTCTGCACCCGCACCATCGGGGTTGGTCTGTGTGACAACAGAATGAGGGGGGAGTGACGGTGTGTCACTCCCGAGGTCAGGTTGTAGAAGACATGGTGGCACCCCCTTCTCGCTGTCCTTCCTTCCCTCTCGCTTTCACCTGGGGAGCCAGGAGGCCCCTGGTGCACGCTCTGCCAACAGCCCTGTGGGGTGAACTGGGACCTGGGCCTCCAGCCCCCGAGGACCCTTGGAGAAGGTCTCGCCCATGACCGCCCCAAGCTGCAACTGCCCAGCTGTGATGCTCCTGGGATCCTGGCCCCCACACACCGTGGGAGATAATAAATGTTTGTTGCTTTATGAGACAAAGTGTTGAGTGGTTGGGAGCAGCGTGACCTTGAGCAAGCTACACCTTGTCTCCCAGCTTTAGTTTCCTCATCTGCAAAATGTGCGTAAATAGGTCCCTCCCGAGGGGCGTTGTGGAAACGGAACTCGTTAGAAAGCGTGAGGGCACTTACATGTGTCCTGCCAATGAAGGGGTGGCTTTTTGTCTCATTCCTCATCAAGACAGACAACCCCTCACACAGGCGGGGCCCTGGGGGCTCTTGTGGGGGCCTCCTGCCTCCAAGGCCTGCACAGTGGGGGCTGAGAGGGCTGGAGTGGGGGCAGCAGCCCCACCGCTCACCTCCTGGGCCCAGGATTAAGGCCGCGCAGCTCACCGGTTCCCTTCAGAGGGCGTCCCTGAGCTCAGAAGCACAGCCACACAGATGGTGACATGCTTGGTCTTTCAGTGGAACTCGGGGGAAAGAACAAAACTGACCTTACTTCTGCTTTCCAACAGGAATCATCCATAAGTTTCGGGTATACATTTTTTCAAAGACTGTATTTATTTACTTAGAAAGGGGGGAAAGGAGGGAGAAAGAGAGGGAGTAAGAGGGGGAGAAACACTGATGTATGAGAGATACATTGATTGGCTGCCTCTCGCTTGCCCTTAACGGGGAGCCTGGTTGGCATCCCAGGCCTGTGCCCTGACTGGGAATAGAACCAGCGACCTTTTGGTTCGCAGGTCTGCAAGCAGTCCACTGAGCCAGGGATCGAGGTACACTTTTTTGTGTGTCTTCTCTTTGAATAGGAAAACTAGCGGGCACTTAGACTTGTCAGGTGATCAGGAAGGCCCCGCCTTCCCCGGAATCTTCCACCAACTCCATCCTCTGTCGTCACTTCTCTCTGCCACACGGTGGCGCTGCAGGCAGGTGAATCCTCAGTTGCTTTAGGCCCAGCTCAGGTAGCTGTGAGCCTTGCGGAAGAGACAACCCCAGATGCCACGCCCAGCCGAAACTACTGGTTGTGCAGGTTCCCAGAGTCACAGCGGGTCCCCCAGCAGGCGCCCATTCCCCCCGGCACTCCAGCTCCACAGTGCCGTTGGGACAGTCCACTCTCTGGGCGACATGGAACTCTCTCATCTTCCCTCCATAGGAAGCCACAGCCACGGCCAGCTCCCCACGAAGCCAGGGCTGTCCCTACACAAGTAAGCTTTCCTCTTTCTCCCGTAATAAGAATCACGGGGCAATGGTGGCAACATGGCTTCAGCCATCCCACAGAGCTATTAGGGACCCAGGTTTGTTGCCCTGCGGGGCAAGCTGGCTGCCACAGCTCCGCTCTTCACACCCATGTTTGGGGCAGGAAAAGGGCCAGCCATTTCGGACCCCTCTTATCAGGAAGCAGAAGCTTCCCCGGAAGACCCTGAGCCCCCTTCTGCAGACACACCATCATCCATCCAGACATTCTCCCACGGCCAGTACTATCTGCAAGGGAGCCTGGGAAATGAGCATTTCGCTTCTCCAGCCTCCAGAGTAGAAGGTGCTGGTGGGGGACTTGTTAGACAAGAAGTGATGCCTACGAAAGATTTTCTCTTGATGGGTCCCATACCTCCCCCTTAACCCCACTGGGCAGAAACTCCACTCCTCAGAGGCAATGCCCCCACCTGAGAACCAAGGAGATGCTTCGGCCTCTCTCCCTGAGTGGCAGGAAGGGGGAAGGCAGGAGTTTGAATCTTCATACAATGGGAGGCGGCATAATTCAAACCAGAGGGCAATCGGTCTCCAGCATCTCCCTTTTCCCTCCCTCCCAGACACTTGCAGGGACGGAGAACGGCACAATCAGGACCGTGAAAGCATTGGCTGGGCCACCTAGGCCTGGCATGGTGCCGGGGGACGGAGTAGGCAGCCTATTATTGAGCAGAAGCCCTTAACAGTCTTTGACAAAGTGTGGTTTTAGAAGGGAGTGGAGAGGGGGGGAGAGATCGCTCTGCAAAATGGGTGAGGGAGTGGGGCCTGGGGGCACCAGAGGGCAGAGTGGGGAGAAGGGGCCGTTGGCCTTGTGAACTCCAGAGGAAGTGGCCTAGATACATGGAGAGGTCAAAGCTTGGGGGTGGGGGGGGATGTCAGGGAAATCTGAGCGTGGGGCCCAGAGGACCGAATGTAAGAAGGGCAGATGAACCACCCACAGCACAAGGAAGCAGATGACCAGGGAGGCCACTGCCACTCCCACCCCCTGCTCCCCCACTTCTAGTCCTGGTGAGGACAGGAGGAGCTCGTGGCCCCGCTGCAAGGGGCTGGGGTCCGAGCCAACCTCACTGGGATCTGCAAGGACAGGGCATGTCAGCTGACTTCCAGTTTATTGAAACACGTTGAAATGCCCAGGTATGGTCATTTGTGGGGTGGGGCACATGTTCTCAAATGGTGTTTTCTGCCCTGGAGAGGCAGCCACACATTGATGTTTCTCTCCCGCTCTCCTTTCCTTCCCCTCTAAAGATAAATAACTAAAATCTTAAAAAAAAAAAAAAAACCAGTGTTATCTTCCAGACTTCAGAGGCATCTGCCTCCCTGTCCCCCGGGGTGCAGAAGGGTGGGGGGCATGAGCGGGAACCTGTGTTTTCCAAATTACCCATGAACTAGGACACGCTGACCTGTCTGCTTGGAATGGACGGTCAGGGGACAGGTGGCCTGAGCCCGTGGTCACGGCCATCAGCTCCCAGATCAGCCTCAGCCCCGCCCTGCCCCTGACCACATCTGACGCTCAGGGGGCCATGACTTCCATCTTGTTCACCTGCCCCACTGGACTGTGGGTTCTCGTGAGCAGCTCAGGTGTTTCCTGGGTCCCCCCGGCCTAGCACTGTGCCTGCCATGTGCTAGGGACTCCCTAAGCCTATGGGTGACTTAGTAACTACTGAGACCTCACAGAGGAGCCCCTATTCAGGGGCTGTGCTATTCACGACAGCCCCAGGCTCTAGATCTTTCTCGGCTCTCCCTCCTAAAAGCTCGCCAGGCTGGGACCCAGGCCTCAGAGGCACAGAGGATCCTGATCTGACACCCTAATTTGCGTTAAGGTGTGAAAGCCTGGGGGACATGGCGCATCTTTCTCATGGGCATATTTTACCTGCCACTGGTGCCCAGTGGCCCACGGAGTTGTCAGGCTGGTGGAAGAGGTTCAGGGTCCTCAACCACGTCCCAGAGAAGCGCAGGTACAAACCACACCTAGCCAAAAGCCTTCCCACCGCCCCAAATCCTGACACGCTGGAAGCAGCGGGCGGAGGGAGCCTGCCTGAGCAAGCACTCTGCCTTCTCTCTGATACCCACACAGCCCTGGCTGCCCCCTCAGCTCCACAGCTGGGCCATGAATTGGGGACAGCTGAGTCTGAGTGGGGATGGAGGCTGGCCCATTTCTATTGGGGCAGCCAGGGGCCCCTCTGTCCCCTCCCCAGCCCAGGTAATCTGAGCCCGGCATTTTGTCCACCCTGGAGCAGCTGACGGTGTTGAGGTTGGACAGCTGGTGGGGCTGGGCTGGCCTGGCTGGGGTGGGAGCGTGGGCTGCTACACGAGACCCGGAGTCTGCATCTCTTGGCCTCAGACCCAGGGAGCTGTCGTCCCACCCCTGGCACTGCGGAGAACTGGGCACCATGCACGGGAGTCAGGGGCCACTGTTCCTCCTGGCGCTGCTGGCTGTCTGCCTGGGTGTGGACCGAGGGGCCCGGGGGAGACCGGAGCTGGGGTCCAAGGCCTCGGGAGGCAGAGGGACTGGAGGGCTACTGGAGCCTGTCCCACCCCAGCTCCTCATCTTCCCATGTCACCTCTGCCCACAGCCTCCCCCTTTTTCTGCCCCAAGTCCCCCCGTCCCGGCTCACCGCTGTCTGTTGCAGGAGCCCAGGGCCGGAACCAGGAGGAACGGCTGCTGGCGGACTTGATGCACAGCTACAACCCCCACCTGCGGCCCGCCGAGCGTGACACGGACGTGGTCAACGTCAGCCTGAAGCTCACCCTCACTAACCTCATCTCCCTGGTGAGCCGCAGGCCTGCGGGATGACGAGGGAGGGAGGGAGGGCCAGGGCACTGGGCCTCGGGCCCCGTTGGGGAGAGGAAGGGGCTGCTCCAGCAGCCACAAGGGGCGGGAGGAAGGCCCTACGGGGGAGAGAGAGGCCAGGATGCCGTAACCACCTGTGGAGGCTGCTAGGGAGGCTGGGGTCCTCTGGGACCCCACTGTGGCCTGTGGGAACTAACATCTGGGGAGGCAAGTGATGGGAGCTTACACTTGGGTCTGCACCCCCAGAATGAGCGAGAGGAGGCCCTCACCACCAACGTTTGGATAGAGATGGTAAGAGATCACTTCGTCACCCTCTTTCCCTCTATCAATCCCAACTCAGGCCCCAGGTCCTCGGAGCTGCCTGTAACCCTGCTCCCTGCCCCTTCTGTGCCTCCTGGGCTGGGCTCCTGTTCCTGATATGGCACAACAAACGGGGGGGGGGGGTCCAGTGACACTTCTCTCCCTGCAGCAGTGGTGTGACTATCGCCTTCGCTGGGACCCACAAGACTACGAGGGCCTGTGGGTGCTGAGGGTGCCATCCACCATGGTGTGGCGGCCGGACGTCGTGCTGGAGAACAAGTGAGAGGAGGCATGAGCAGGGTGGGGTACAAAAGGACACAAGGGCAGGGCCTAGCAGAATAGGGAGGGGTGCATCTAAAGAAAGGGAAGCGAACAGAGGGTGCCAGCCCGGGGTCCTTCAGGGCATGGACTACCAGGCAGAGCAGGTGCTGAGGGCCCGCCGGGCTGCCCCACTGATTGTAGGCCTGGCTGCTGGGCTGGGCCGCCTGTGTGGGCACCCCCCTCCTCTAACTTGGGGGTGAGGGCAGCTCCT